TGTTCATTCAAATTGTCTGGGGGCCCCGGGCTTATTAAAATGCAGCTTCTTGGCCCACACCCCAGATCTAAGGACTCAGAATCGGTGGGGGGAGGCCGAGGGATCAACCTGCCTGGGAACAAACTTCAAAGACCATAACCTGGGCCCCCTGCTCCATTGGCGCAGCCCAGGCGCCTCTGCTGGCCCCGCGGAGAGGAGCTACTCCCTTCCCTGTTTCAGGTCTCTCCCTCACTCCTGCCTTTCCTCTCCACCAGCCCTCGGGGGCAGTCATGCTGGAGGTGACAGTCCCTGGCAGTTTTCTGCTTTGGAGGAACAGGCTTTTCCGCTTCTTTTCCAAACTGGGGGGAGGAGCTCTGTTTCCAGGTAGGGAGTGAGGGCTGGGCAGAGACGGGGCAGCAGCTTTCTGAGCACCAGAACTTCAGGTGTTTGTGACACAAAAGGGGGGCTTGGGAGGCAAATGAGAAACAACTCGGGACAGACTACTCCCTCATCAGCGTCACAAAATGACATCGTTTCCCGGGCAGTCATTCTGGTTCATCACCAACAAGAGAAGAACACTTCCCAGGCTCCCGCAGTACTGCCAGCGGGTCAGTCCCACCCTCTTGTTGGGCCTTGGACAGAGGGGAGTGAATTCCTTAACTTACATGGCCACTTCGAGGTGAAAACGGTCATTGTTTCCTGAGTATTTCAAACCTAAAGTAGCCTGCGGGCTCTCAGAACTAGAACTGAACATCCTCTTTCTCTTGTAACGTGTTCCCATGTGATGGTGGGTATCGGGGTAGTGGCCAGGGAGGAATTTGGAGGCATACATCTGCCCACATGCCCACACCTCCTAGAAAAAAACCCATATGCAGTAAGTACAAAAAAAAATGCAGATTTTAATAAGTGAAAAAAGCAGATCCGTGATGGCCTGGGCTGGAGATTGAAGAGGGGCAGGAGAGAGGATGATGGAGGGGGGATTGTTTGCTGGTGATGATAGTTCACTGTTGTGATTGTGGTGACAGTGTCTCAAACTATCAAATTGTATAGCTCAGATACGTAAAGCTTCCTGTATGTTAGTCACCCCTCAATAAAGTTTTGAAAATAAGCCTGAAATGACTTAAAAGGTTCCTAGCAACTACATTTCCCAAAGAAATAACTGAATGAGGATAATTAAGGGGAGTTGGTGCCTAAGATAAAAAAAGTAGCAATTTTAGCATTATTCTCTTTCACAGTATTAAGTTGCTGCTTGCTCTATTAACTAAAGAAACAGATGTAACGCAAATAGCATTATGTCTGTTTTCTGAAAACTCCATATTCTTCCCTCTGCAATTGCCCTAATGTATTGTATGTAGAACGAAAGCATGATAGGAAATAGAGGTTTTTCAGAAAATGGACATTCTTGTTTTATGTCTTTTCCTACCCATCTGGAGATACTGAGGACATGAATAACATGTAATTATGGAGTAATTTTCAATCCATGAGCATTTAATAGTGTCCCACAGGAGGCCACATTCAGTGGTTCTGATACTGATATTTCACCCTGACACTGGACACAGTTGCTGAATGTTACAATCACTCAATGGCACAGTGCAGAGAATGGGCCTGTGTATCCCTGCCCCTCACTAAGTGAGGACCAGAAGAAAGCAGAAAATCCACCAATTCATAGTTGTTTGGAAAACAAAAGGATGTGTTTGACTCACAGGTAACTGCCACCTATAAGCTGCCTTAATCATGGGGCTTCATTGGCTTAAGATGTTGGCGTTCTGGTTATCACAATTTTTAAAGAATTAATTCTTCTTCAGACCTCACTTTGGAAAAATTAAAACTAACCCTTTCTTAAACAATTTGCCATTTTCTGTAATAGGAAAGGCGGAGACAAGGCCTTAAAATTCCGTCACAAAGGTATATTATTATAATTACGTATTAAAGTCAGGTTTAACACAGAGATTAATACAATGTACAGTTTAAATGTATCAATTTTACAAAAGAAATTAAATTAAAATTTACAGGATCTAATCCTGGTTTGATTATTCTAAATGAATGGGAAGCCTTTTGAAATAAACACCAAAAGAAAAGCACTTTAGTCTTAGTTCCCATGACATTTTTTCCATCTTTTCCCCCAAAGAACATTCCCAGAGCACAAAATAGATTCGTAATTGTTTAATTAGATACATTTTATACATCCTGACATAATGGCTGCCATAGAAATAAACCAAGACTTCGTACACAAACGCTGTATTTACTGGGCCACATCCATCATGGACCACTTGAGCTGAGTGCAAACATGTTTACACCCTCTGGTGTGTGCGGAGCTCTGCTCCCATTGACACTTCGTTATCTAGGATGACAGGTAACGAGATTAGACGAGACGGGTAATTAAAGTCCATAAGGTAATAACAAAAATGCACATTAGATGATGACGATAAACACTTCTCCAGCCACAGCGTAACCAGAACTAAGCAAAAGAAGTTTTATCAGTTTCCCCGTTAACCCTGCCCCCCAGTGCTCCTTAGGGCGGGATCTCATGAGTGTCTGGAAGGCATGGGGTCAGAATAATGACGAGCAAAGGTTTGAAAAATGACAACTTGGCATCTCTCGTATTGAAACAAATCCCATTGGTTTATCTTACCCAGAAAATACATTTGGTAGGTTTTTTGTTTTTTTGGTCACATATAATAGATATAATTTGTTACATAAAATTGATATGTAATATTAAAAGGTATCTCACGTGAGGTTTATTTTTGCAATTGCCTGAAAAGTGGAGTATTTTATTTATTTTTCATTTTTAAATTTTTTTGTTAATCCTCACCTGAGGATATTTTTCCATTGATTTTTTTTAGAGAGAGAGGAAAGGAGGGGGAGAGACAGAGAGAAACAGCGATGCGAGAGACACATCGATGAGGGGATTTTAGAGTAACTCATAAAATACAATGACTTAAAAAAACAATAAAATGACAGCAAACTCTGAGGGCAAATTTTACCCTGGTGGCAGCATACAGAAGCACAATAATTAGTGTCTGTCTGTGCTGGTGTGTGCCGTTGCTCTGTGCAATCTGGTCAGGTCCATGGGGCCATCGTCACTTCGTCCTGCTTTCCTTAATGACCAGCTCAGACATGAAGGAGCTGATGAATACCTCACAGGGCGGTGTATAGGCATACTGAGTCCTCCTCTATCCTCTATTGCTTTAGGGAGAAACAAATAAAATACCCTGGACATAAAAAGACTTACGTAAAATTCTAAAAAATAAATCAGGTTTCATCTAATACTTAGTCTATCCTTTTTCTGCTTAGTCTCAAAAGCCCCCAATTTTTGCAGTTGAAAAGTCCAACTAGAATAAGTCTCCCAATTCTATAAGCCACTCTATCCATCAGAAGGAAAAATGAAGTGGGGGATAAAGCCATTCCATTCTGAATATTTGAGGGGGAGGTTTGTGAAGCTGGTATTATAGGAGTATTACCTAAACTTCAATTGATCACTTGTATTGGAAGTCTAATCAAGAAGCCTGAATCTCGAGAGATTCTAAATCGGGGATATTATAAAATATGATTTTAATGAACTTGACATTCTTCTCATTCTCAGTTTAAAATCCTCATCAGAGTTTCAGGTGAGCTCTGACCAACACTCGCTTACCCGATTTGTGGCTGGAACTTACTAATACAGGTCCTCCCTACTAGTTATTCTTTTTCTCAATTACAACCCAAACAGTAGTTGCTTCCCTGAGGGTGCTGGGTCCTCTCCCAGCTGTCTGGCTGATAAATCCCTTGGTAACTGATGGGGAGAGGAGGACTCATGTATCTTTATACCCCCACCTTCTGACTTACCTACTTGGAACACCTCTACTTTGTAAAATTCTGTCCTTATCTTTAGGTGAAACAGTTTGAGATGGTTCCTGGAAACACAAGTACAGACCAGAACCACTTCAGATGGTATTTAAAGCTTTACCAACGGGGGACAGTAGATTTTATGAGGAAGTTATAAAATTCTGCTTAAATACTAATGAAAATTATAGGCATGTATCTCAGGATGCAGATAAAAGGGAGTCAAGAAAAGCAATCGATAACAAGGGGACATTTTACTACCACCAAGCAAGCCACCTATAGATTTAAAATGGGACTCGACAGCATTGAGAAACCTCGGGAGGGCGTTGCTTAAGTGGAACACTTAGATCTGGCAATGGGATTTACTTGAGAGTGAAGTTTCATTCTAGAGCAATGCATACTGAATGCACAGTGCAGGGCCCAGATCAAAGGAGGGATGTTTTAAATGTTGCTCCACTTAATAGAAACTTCAGAGCTTGCCTTATGCTCTCATAAGCAGTTCAGATTTGATAGTGGATTAGCTGTTATTAGGAAAGCTTTGCTGAGAAATAATACTAAAATCAACACCTTTTAACAAAATGCAAAATGCCAGTAACCTCGTTACCAGAGTTTAAAATAACACTTAAAACCTCATGGTCAGAATCTAGAATAAAAAACCTAACTAGGAATTAAATATATGCCATTTTATAACTAATCTCTAGGGAGACTTTTTAAAAAAACATACAAGCATTTATATAGTCATCTACGTGCAGAAACTCAGGAATATGGATGCAAGTTTCCTACAAAACCCTTTGTATACTGGAGGGAAGAACAAATACTGAAGTATGCAAAACACATTTCTGTCCCCCTCCCTTAAACTCCTTAGCTTAAGTTTTATATCTCTGCCAACGGCCAGGGAAATGCTTAATATATAGCCATGTATCATACAGAATCACTTGATGAAAATGTAAAATATGATTTGCATAGAACTCATTTAAACAATGCAAATAAGCTACTAGCATTCTTGCTTCTGTTCCCAGTGGAATTGCCACTGGGGCCACTGGGCTGGGTTACATTGTGCTTCACTCAACACTTGCAGTGCTCCTAAGCCCAACCAGAAATGCCATCTGCTTATTGTTATTTCTTTCCACGGCTTTAACACGGATGCCAAGTGTTCAAATCAAACACAGATATTGCCAAAAACAGGGCACACTGTGAGGTTAGGTACAAGGGGGATGGTTTATTATCTGGACGCAGGACAGGAGCTTGACAAGCCATGTGACGACAGAAATCGCCCTGGCACACCATTTCCTTCTTGCCCTGCAGACATACGATACAGTGACCGACACATCAGAGTAAAGCACATGTTGTTTACTTTTTTTCATCCACTGAAGTTACACTCATAATTGTTCTGGTCCCAGAAAGTGAATCATGCCATGATTCAAAAGGTCTGTCCTCCACATAAACCTATGAGCACACGTTAAAAAAAATGATTTATTGTACATCTTTGCATTTCTTAAGGCATGAACAATGGCGTACAGATGGGACAGGTTCTGAGAAGCATCACGTCTTCATGGACAAGGCCAGCACGGGTACACCACATCGGACGACACACTCCAGGCTGAGCCCCGGAGCTCCTCTGATGAGGGGAGGGCGCTTCCAAACGCGTGGTTTATGTCACGCGGCTTTAAACTCTCCGGATCGGCGTTAAGCACCGGTCACAGTGTGTTTGTCTTTATAAACTCATCAGACTTTGGGTTTTTACATTCTGCTCCTTTAATTCTTCTTTCCGAGGAGGGTGTGGATTTTTTTTTTCCATTTTATTTTTTAAGGAATATGGTTGCAGCAAAACAGAAAGGATCCAAACGTGGTTAGGGGCCTTGTCTAATGCACTTCTGAGAGTCCGTTATAAAGATGAATAGAAAAGCAAATGGCCGGCGTTCGGTCGGCCCAGAAACCACGCGGAGCTCTAAGAAACATAATTGTGCATAGTTAGTAATTCATTCAGAGCGGGATATGTTGGCTAGCTCTACACGCCCAGGTTACCAGAGAACAGGGCTGTCCACTTTGCTAAACCCAGGGTCCTTCCGCAGCTCCCAGTAGGTGTCGTTAGAAACCCAGGCTTCTCTTTGATTGGCATCAATCACTTTCCTGTGAAAACAGAAAAATCCACATTAGACCCAAGGCACACCAAGGTGACCAGACTGTCGGCCCCTGCCCTGCAGGTAAGACGGATAAGCAGTCCTTGGTAACCATTCGCAGTCCTTGGTAACCATTCGCAGTTCTTGGTAAGTCAGTGAGTGTCCTATCTGCTTGCGGATGACTTGACTATTTGGGACCGGAAATGAATTATTTCTGTTGTTAAACATTTGAAATGGAGGTGGGTAGGGTCATTGGGAGAGGGGCTGAGGGCAGGAAAAAATCCCCTCCAGGCAGAGCTAGAAAGTGAAGTGCCCCAAGCAAAGTATGTACAATAGGTAACTAAGAGCTTCAGACCTCAGACCCACAAGACAGTCTGTGCCTCACTCACGGGAAAGTACCAACCTCAGCAGCTAAGGTCTGCAGGGCCTGACACCTAAGGGCGAGGCTGCGTTTCTCCCCAGGGCAGCCAGGAGCAGCTGCTCTAAGGGAGATGAGGTTATTCGGAGCTGATCTGTCCTGGCTCCAGAGCGCAGCAGATGGGCCTGGAAACTACAGTTTAATCTGTGATGTAGGCATAGTCCTGCAAATAATCCTGTAATAATCACCCACGGTCACGCCACAGAGGGGCTAAATCTGAATGGACATAAGCCCCCATAAGAAATAAAATGAAAGATATATGCAGCCAGGATGACCTGTGGGCAGATGGGTCCCATCCTGTCTCTGAGTGAGGGAGTGGGAACAAGTTTCCACCATCTGAAAGGCTGGAGCTGAAGGACAAAGAACGCTCTGGGCTGGGGGAGACCCTCACTCCTTTTTGCTGCTCATGAAAAGAGCTGTGGAGAAAAAATTACTTTCGGAGAGAGAAATAGAAACATCATCGATGAGAGAATCATTGATTGGCTGCCTCCTACACACCCCACACTGGCTGGGCCCACAACCTGGGCATGTGCCCTGACAGGGAATCGAACCAGTGACCTCTTGGTTCCTGGGTCGATGTTCAGCTGCTGAGCCACACTGACTGGGCAAACAAATTACTTTTATGCTTACAAATGGTTTTCCCAAGTGCAAAATCTGATCCTGATCCAGTATTTTCTCTGCCAAGGCCATTTACTGAAATCGGTTTAATTTTTCCACCTTTTGGTCCCCTGGACATTAAACTGTCCTTCGTTGTCTCTTTAGCTGGAGTTTTCCATTGCTTGTGGGAACCACTTGCACAACACGAACTTGTTAGGCGCGGGAACTGACTTACTTAAAGAATTTTGGTATATGTTCAAGGTTGTTTTCTTCCATGTAGCGCCGTCGCGATCTCTGCAGTTCCTCCACCCTTTGCTTCTCGGCTGCTGCAGCTTCCAGATTTCCTTCTTCCAAAAATCTAAGCAAAGAGAGAGTTCATCCTTTAATATATCACCCTCTCTTCTGATAAAAAATGACCTCATTTGCATGAAATTACATTCTGGTTCCTGCGAACAGTGACACTGGGGCAGAGCATCCCCTCGCCCTGCTCCAGCCCACACCGCCCCTGCCTGCCATCAGTGAGCACACTTCCTGTGTGTGTGGATGGAATTAGCACGGGCATCACACGGGGAGGAGTGAGAGGGGAATGGTTCGGGCGCGGAGACTTCCCTGTGCTGTCTAGGGTTCTACGGCGTGAGGTCTCCACGAGTTAGAACAGGGTGGAGTCCCAGGGGGTGCTCCGTTTCCATATTATCAAAAAGCACTTGTTAAAGGCCACAGGATGGCGGGTGGAAACTGGCTGTTCTCCATCTACTTTTAGAACAGATTGAGAAGGAAGGAGTTTTCTCCTGTTTTATGGGGGAGAGTAAAACTGATGAAAAAAGAAAAGGGAACAGTTGGGGAAGATTACAAAAGGCCACAGAAAGGAAATGTATTATAAGTGAAATTCAGAAAGGAAATATGGAAATAGAATTGATAAAGAAAAAGCAGACCCCACAGTAATGTGCAAATATTTAAATTCCAAAATGAGAGAAAAGGCCAGGGACACAGTATGATACACATCATAGAAGATGCTTACATGTGAATGTCAAACAGTGAGACTGCGTGCTCTGGAGTAGGGGGAGGAATACAGGAGAACTGAGTAGCAGAACATTTCAATACTGGGAACATTTTGGCAGAAGACAAATAAAACCACAAATACACTGAAAAGAGAAAATGATCTTGGATGGAATTTGTATGACAAGGTTTTGGAAAAAAGTAAAATTAATTCTGTAAGAAAGGGCAACACAAATACAGATCTCTACAAATAAAACGGTAATATGCTAATTAGACCGGGTAGACCAGACATCTTCTGGATATCCTTCTGGACAAAGCCACGGTGGTGGGGCTGAGGCAGAGGCAGTTAGGGGCGATCAGGCAGGCAGAGGAGCAGTTAGGGCCATCAGGCAGGCAGGAGAGTGGTTAGGGGTGATTAGGCAAGCAGGCAGAGTGGTTAGGGGCTATCAGGCAGGCAGGCAGGTGAGTGGTTAGGAGCCAGTGGTCCTGGATTGTGAGAAGGATGTCCGATGGCCAGTTTAGGCCTGATCCCGGCTGTAAGACATCCCCCGAGGGGTCCCGGATTGGAGAGGATGCAGGCTGGGCTGAGGGACCACCCCCCCACACACAAATTTCATGCACCGGGCCTCTAGTGTAAGAATAATAAAACATATGAATCAGAAGGTGTTAAAGGTACTGCATTTTGAATACATCTCACACCCTGTGAGATCCAAGCCATGTTGGGTAAACTCCAGACTTTGACTAAAAGCATTTATAGGTGTCTTTGTAACTTATTATCTCATTCTTCAGTATAAAAGATACTCCATGCTTCAGAGCAATAGAAGTGAAAAGGTACAAACACTGGGTGAGGAGTGATTCTGTATTTAGTGGAAAGAGAAAATTCATGACTTGGCAGGCTTCTAGCAAATTTGGGGGTGAGAGGGGAAACTTTTGTTGAGGTAATCTTCTGAGCACCTTATGAAGGCTGTTTTACCCAGGGTGGGAAACTCAACCATTTCTGAGTGAATAAGGGAATGGACAGATGATTCAATAAAGAAATAAGTGATGGTGGTGCAAGTCAGTCTTGATGACACGTGTAGCACCTGCCATGATCTAGTGTCCATTTTAAATGCCACCGCTACGCTCACCTCTGATCTGGCCGGAATCGGGCATCTGTCGGTGGGAGGAGGTCTTTCAGGACAGGATCTAACTCATTGAGCTCAATAGCAAACCTGGTGAAGCCATAGTAGAGCTCATAGTTGGTTGGCAAGGAACCTGGAATGAGGCCAATGAACCATCGTGAGAGGCAAAGAGGTTCACGACACTTGCAGAAGCACTTAATCCTGGTGTTTAACGAATACCCAGACCATTAGCAAATTTGTAGTCATAAACAGTCAATGATAAATTTTTTCAGGTTATATTTTGTCAGATGGGAAACTTTATGTTGATGATCATAACTGATAGGTTCATATACTTAATAGACTCTAGCCTTTAAACTAAAACTTTGCACATATATAGTGGTCTTCACTGGGTAAACTACACCATAATTTTTCTCTCCAATATTCAGCTAGGTAACTAAATGCCCGGATGATTAGCTATGAACATTGAGATTTCACCAGAAACACTTTACTTCCTTTTAGAAAAGAAAAAATGCACATCTAGATGAATATTTATTGACACTTTTAAATAAACTCAAAGGCAGAATCTTTTGTATGTGTTGCTCGTTGATGGATTCCACGCGTCCGGAGCAAAGCCTGATGCACAGTCAGTACTCAATAAATCACTGCAGAACGAACTGGCCACTCCACACGCAGGAAACTGCCGTACGCATGGAGGTCACTTAGGAAACTAACAACTAACATTAAAGTTAGGGCTTAACTGACAACATTGCGATAAGAATGTTTGTCAGATGGGACTTGTTACATTTATACTTGATATTCAATGACGCGCTAGTGTATTATCAGAACTTGATGTGTTTCATTAAATGTCAACATATTGCAGCTTTTTGCAGCTCAAGTGAAAAGATCACTTATTCTAGTAAGTTATTAAATTTGTGAATTATAGACGTTTACAGGCTATCCTTTGCTTTATGAAAACAGAATAAATACTAGGAATAAGGATTTGAGTTTGTGTATTTCATTTAACTAAACTCTTGACTAACATGCTTAGCATTTGAAATGGAGGCATGTAGCGTCATTTTACACCCGGGAAGCCCACTTGTCAGATGTGCCTACATTTTATAACTCAGTATCAAATATTGGGACTTATATATATGATTTACATGTTAAATATAAACAGAACTACATTTGCTGTAGCATCTAGGTTTTTAACCTCATTATTAAAGAAAACATAAGGTGGACCCCCTGGAATGATGGACTTTCCCTCCCTCTGTTACTTCTCTCGGGGGCCTCCTGAGGCTGGTCACTCCTGCGGTCTCACCTGGTCTCCAGACGCACTTTGCAGACGGGGCCACGCCGCAGTAGAGCCCCTCGTGCCATTTCCCAAACAGCCGGTGCACCACCTTCCCCTCCTGGTCCATCACAACCCCCTGGACTTCATTCACATTAGAATTCCAGTAATTCACCTGGAAAAACCAAACCCAATGAAAACACCGGATTTCCTCAACAACACCAATCCCTGTAATTCCCACGCGCAAGATTTTCTTAACCTTGAAGTGTCTTATTCAAACCACTTCCAGAGCTCCAGCTCCAGATGTTTTGTAAGGAAGGATGGCTTTCTTCATCTCTAAGTCTCCACTCCACGCTACCGCTCGGCAGTATGACACAGAGAGGCTCAACTTCTCTCTCAACCGCACACTAATTTATAGGCTAGTAATTTCTCCCTCAGACCCTCCTGTCTTGAATCGTCCTTTTGCTCATGGATTTGAATGATTTTCAACCGGTAATGCTAGGAAAGTAGTTTGTGGAATGTTTTTCACGTCTCTGTAAATGGCTAAATTTTACCGTAAGGACCCTGCGCTGGCTTTCTCCCAGCCAAGCTCCTCCCCAAAAGGTGTGAAGTCAGTGGGATTTACCCCGCCAGACCCCATGGCCTTCGCTCTAGATCAGGCCCCAAGTATGGAGAGCCCCCCACTTTGCTGTCCGCCTGGCTCCGAGCCTATCCACAGCCTGCACAAGCCTTTGCTCGGGAGTCACCCACCGAAGGTAGACCAACCTTCAGTGTGTGACTCTGTAGGCCTGAGGTGGCTGTTTGAGGGGGTGGGGACAGAGCGAGGATGTGGGGCTGGATCACCTATGTGTGCGTGAGGCCTGCAGTGCAGGACGGAGCTGCCGGTGGGGGCCAGTGGGGAGGAGCCTGGCCAGGGACTGACTGCCAGGCCTCTAGCTCGAGTTCCGCAGCATCAGACCTGGCCTGGCAGGCTTTGCTGTGAAAGGTATATATTTGTCAGGATAAAAAAATAGAAGATGTTTTATTTGACAGGTTGTAGGTTTGACTTACATATTGCAAATATTTACTCATATGGCATAGGGATTTCATTTGGATTCTTGCCCTGAGCTTTGCATATATCAGGGCAGACCTAAACCAAGGTTTCTCACAGCCTACCAAACTGAATGCACACATTTACTGTCATCACTCATTCAGAGCAAATAACCATCCTGGCTCTTCAGTTCTGAGCCACCTAATAAACCTATTTAAAAAGAGGGCAAAAAAGAAAAACATGTTAAACTAAAATAAATGTATTCCATTAAAATGAACACGGCCAGAAGAGAAATTTTTGAGTATTAAGGCTCCAATTATGTTACCTGTGTCTAGAATGAGATCGGAACTAGAAGAGATGAAGAGGGTGGGTGGAGTTTCTGGACCCTGATGGATTTGGTAGCACCCCTAAACAGCACAGTGATGACCCCAGGTTCCACGTCTGAGCAGGGACCAGGGAAATGGTGCTCTGTAGGAACCTCCATCCCAGACATCCTTTTTTGTTTGTTAATCCTCACTTGAGGATATTTTTCTTTAAAAAAATATTTTTATGGGTTTTAGAGAGGAAGGGAGAGGAAGAGAGAGCAAGAAACATCAATGATGAGAGAGAAACATTGATCGGCTGCCTCCTGCATACCCCGCACTGGGAATTGAGCCCACAACTTGGGCATGTGCCCTGACTGGGAATCAAACTGTGACCTCCTGGTTCATAGGTCGATGCTCAACCACTGAGTAACACTGGCTGGGCTGGAGGATATTTTCCCACTGATTTTTAAAAAAAATATATTTTATTGATTTTTTTTACAGAGAGGAAGGGAGAGGGATAGAGAGTTAGAAACATCGATGAGAGAGAAACATCGATCAGCTGCCTCCTGCACACCCCCCACTGGGTATGTGCCCACAACCAAGGTACATGCCCTTGGCTGGAATCAACCTGGGACCCTTGAGTCCGCAGGCCGAAGTTCTATCTACTGAGCCAAACCAGTTAGGGATTTCCCACTGATTTTTAGAGAGAGTGGAAGGGAGGTAGAGAGACAGGGAGAGAAAAACATCAATGTGAGAGAAACATATCGATTGGTTGCCGCCTGTGCATGCCCTGACCAGGGCCTGGGATCGAGCCTGCAACTGAGGATGTGCCCTTGACTGGGGTTGAACCCAGGACCCTTCTGTCTATCTACTGAGCCAAACCGGTTAGGGCCCAGACATCTTCTCTTGTTAGTAAAGGTAATGTTTTTTCGTGAACTTATCTGAATTATAATAGTGGCAGAGTTGGGTAAGCTTATAGTGACTGAAGCTATCATCTATATGCATTCTCAGAAAAAGACAACTGCAGTATAATTAGGTCCCTAAAATAGATCACTTGAACATGTTGTAATCAAGCAGGAATAGAAATAGGAATGTAAGCCAGAGAACTTGTTATAGGCAAAAATAGGAAAAGAAATAGAAACCAGAAGACTTATTAAAGGCAAGAAGTGTTTTCTGGAATTTTACTGAATGAACTGCTGATGGGTTGCTAAGAAAGAAATTCTTTAAGAAGAATTTTTTTTTTTCTGTTTTAGATGATGCCTTTTTGGGCCTCCACACACTCAGAAGTCTGCACGCCTTGCGGAATGCCGTCAGTTGGTTTTGGTTCTGCTTTCCTACCTGAAATGTTCTTAAGTATCAATGATACGGGACAGACTTGAGGCTGTTGAAGGTAACTGGTTTATTTCCTCCTTAGAGGAAGAATATCATGTTATTTTTTCTTTACTGTTAAAGTCATTATTTACCTTGACAAATGTGAGTTTGCAAATGCAAACACTGCTTTTGGTATTTCTGATGGTCACTTCTCCATAATGCTCTATCCACCTCCTTCCACTGAGAATGTTGTGTATGCACGTGGTGACTTTATTCCACACATAGCAATCTCCATACCTAGCAAAGAATACAAGGGTTAAAAAACAATGAAAGCCACACATATATATTACTATTTTTACTAATGAGAATATTCTTTAGCCAAAGCTCCCTTTTCCCTCATTTTCTTTTCATTTCTTTGTTGAAAGTTGCTATGTGTTCAAGGACATTTACGACATGATTCATTCATTTAAGGAACAAGTCAGTGCTTTTTATGGGCCAGGTGCAAACTACGAAGGCGAATAGGGCCAGTTTCTTGCTCTCCTGGAGCCAACAATATGATGGGGTAGATGGATGTGCCAACAAACACTTACAATAAGGTATGATGAGGAAATAACATGAGAGCACAGAAGGGGGAGACCATAGTCCTTAGATCTGCCTGTAATGTGGGCTGAGTGTCAAGAAAGACTTGCTAGCCTGATCGCTGTTTCTCAGTCTTTGGGTCTGGCTATCAATTCCCAGAAGGAAAGTAGGGGAGGGCGGGGGTAAGGGGAAGAGATCAACCGAAGGACTTGTATTTATCTTAAAAAAAAAAAGAAAGAAAGAAAGACTTGCTAGAGGAGGCTGGGAAAAAGCATCAGAAGTCAGAAGAGCACAGCACACCGGGGGACTGGGAGTGGTGTGCTACAGTGAGGTGTGTGGTGGGAGGCTAGGTAGAAAGGTGTAGTGGGCAGAGCAGGGAAAACCTCAAGACCCACCCATGCATCTGATTTACCCTGCAGGCAATGGGCCACTGTGGAAGGATTCCAGGGAACAGAGAGGCAGACAGGGCATGCATTTAAGAAAGATTACTCTGAGGACATTGTTTCCTTTTCTAAGTTAACACCGAAGTTGCGAATGATTCTTCAAGAAAAGACTGATGTGCATAATAACTAAGGCAGCATGAATGTAATGCAAACCCCAGGGAGTAAGGTTACAGATTTTCTAAGGAACAAGGTGACAAAGCTTCAAGTCATATTTGCATGTTATGTATATTTATTCATAAAATGTTACTTCAAAATTAAAAAATGCTTTAAGTTTCTAAAAAATGTATGAATTGGTATGATGTAGGAACTATATACCACTGGGAAAATTCTTTCTTCCTCATGAGTTTGCAAATATTGAAAGTTTATTTTGTGGTCCTGGGAATTCCTCTTTCTCCACCTTCCTCCATATCCAGTCCATCTTCAAATAGACAAAAACCAAACCAAACCAACAAACTGAAGACAGAAACAAAACTAATTAAGCTTTTGGCTTCAATGAAAACTTCAATTAATTTGAAAAGATTTAAAGGCTATATTCTTTGGAAAACAGCCATATAAGAATTTTATCATTCTTCCTTAATAAAATAACTTAGAAATTAAAAATAGTCCCTGAATCTAAAATTAACTCAAAATGAAATCGTAAGTTATATAAGAAGAAATGGGTCAAAATGAGACTCTTTCATATAAAATGCAAACACGGTGACTGGGACAAGTATGTACCTGGTATTGACTGATGACTGGGGCACGTGAAGAGATAAATAGGAAGCTTAATGCACATGCTAAAGTTCTTGCTTGCTTTGTGGGAGAACATTCTCAGCACTTTGGTAAAACTAACAGATGCTTTGGCCATCCAGGGACACAAACACCCATGTCTGATTTTGAAAAGCAGGTAAGAGACCAAAAGGACGACGAGAGAAACCTACTTTGGAAGCATGACATTCAGCGTTCCCACAGGCAGGATTTCCATCGACTTCCCCCAGAACTTGTTCTTCCACCTGATATCTGTGACAGGCAGAGGACAAGAAATACATACTCTACGTCTAATGATTTATTCTATAAAAACTAAAGTTTGTATTACACTTTACATTTCACAAAGAGCTTTTGTAACTACAATTGATTCTATATTGTTGATTTAACATAACAAATGCCCAAAGATGGCCCAAAGTGAAAAAAATTAACTGTGAACCAAATATTTCTTCATAACACATTTCATATTTGTTTACAACTAACAAAACTGGGGAAAGCCTGGGATAATACATGTGTGTATGTGTGCACATTCACATACACATACGTATGTGTACTTTACTACGCCTTACTGTCTGGGTAAATGTTGTTATAAGTTTTAACTAGATAGTGGAAATAGTTTATATAGAGACAAGTGAGTTTATAGCAAAATTAATGGCAGTATGGATTTACATACACATTTATTTGAAGAGTTATATGATTTGGAAGACCAGTACAAAAATAAAATCTCTAAATACAGAGAGATAAGGTTATGAGAAAGTGAGATTAACTTAATGAGTATGTCCCTGCCCTGGGGAGATATGGCTCCAGGGCCCAGCACTTCATCTCAGGTGAAGCTTTATGTTCGACTTGTGGAAACTCAGGTTGACCTGTGCATTCATAATAACCACCTGGTCCCATTCTGATGAACTAAGGGAGCTTAGTGCTGCCCCACCAAATTTCTGACTCTGTGTTATGACCAAGAAATGATTGCTGTTCTTATTTTGCAATAAAGCACAGTTACAGTGCTCTGTCATTCTGCATGTTTTCAGGTTGAGGAAGTGTGGATGTATGAGAAGCAAATGAAGCATCCCTCTGAACATAAACTATTTATACTTAATCTTATGTATTCTTGCTAAAGGGATTTTGAGACATTTTATTTTAGGCAAGTTTGTGACATTCTCATTGGACAACAGGCATTGGTTCAATAGACTCCAATCCAAACACCTCAATGACTTAAAGACCAGAAATCAGTGCAATATTTACATACTTAGTAGACTGTCACCACAGATGATGTGCCACAGAGCCTTCCTTTAGGACTAAGATGTATTCGTACACCCTCAGGAAGCAAGAAGATAGCAGATAAAATCTCCACGCTTAACATAGAGACAATGAGGCACAATGAGGTAAAGTGCTAGCCCCGAGCTGGCACAGTCAGCCTGGAGCTCTGCTGATCCATAGGGCTTGCTTCCTGAACAACCTCATCTCCTAGATAACACGGTTTAATATTTCAAACAGGAAATCTAATTTCTTGAACTGAACTCTGCATCAATTACGAACATTCTCCAAGTTCCAAAGGTAGCAATGTAAGCTGAGCTCCAGTTTTGGAGACCGGAAACTGTCCCATAGGACTATCAGTTGGTTTTTTTAAGTTGTAATTGAAAAACAAACCTTGCCAAAACACAAAATTCTTGGATTCACAGTGACAGGCAGAAATGGGTGGATGATGGCTAACCTGGTAATTAAAAACAAAACAGAAAGTTTTGACATCAGTGTTAAAACTTCAATAAACAGCAACTTTTTTTAACAACATATATTGGCTTCTGCCAAATAAAAACTACTCAGCTCATCCATCTTTATTAATAAATTTTTCTCAAAATATACAAGTAAATTATTGAATCTTGAACGTTTAAGACTTCTGTGTTTAAACACAGAGAACTTATATATATTTATAGGGGGCAATTATATAAATAAATTGAGTTGTCCATTAGTATCGTAACCCACCCCAAACAGGTTTACAAAATATTTTCAACATCAAACTGCCCAGCTACCTACACAGAAGCCTCCTGGATGCAGTGGGACTTACCTGTTCTGAGAAAAAGCGGAATCCCTTGTCCTCTCTAATGCATTCATAAGTCTCCCCAAGGACAGGGTTGAATGGCTTACTTCCTGCTCTGAAATAGGTAGAGCAATATCCTGAAACTGCAAATGCAGCAATAAGAACCTGTTAAAACATTGAAGAAAGGAAAATAATATAGGAGAGACTACTTCCAGGTCTGTTTGTCCCTTATTCCTCTAGATTTTACATCCCCCACCAATGGGTGCTGACTGCACGGCATTTGCATTTTCTATTATTTAAGCAGACTCTTCATACACTCATGGGGGAAAATCAGGTTAAACGCTCTCATGGGAACCAGCAGGCAATTAAGCCCAAGTATTTTTCATTCATCTGTCCAACCAATTTCCCGAGTATCACAAGTCCAAAGTTTCTGAAACCCCGTTTACAGGTGATGCTGTCCGCACAATCTTAGTGCCATGTGCACAAGGGCTGTGGCTGTTGGTGATTTTCTGAGGGCAGGTCAAGTGTTCGACAGTCATGTGGAACAGAGGCCAGGGCAAAGCACAAACAGGAGGTTCCAACCTCAGACCCAAGTTCCCGAACAGAGGGGCTCTCTTGGCATTGGGGAAAAGTTAACAAAGCGAGGCTCGGCCTGCCTTCAACCCGCAGGAAGAGTGACTTTTACATCCTGACGTTAGAAACACTCGGAACCAAGCGTAAGTCAGAGTGTGTATCTTCTAGTGGACTTATGCAAATGGACCAGTTCCTCTCTTACCTATGCAGGGAGAACGTTATGCAGAAACCAACTGTGCCATCACAATGAATCCTGCCTTAGCCCAGGCCCGGGGCTGACAAATGCCCGCAGAACACGCCTCTATTTATTACCATGCGCTCATAGGGGTCGTCGGTTTCCGAAGCCTTGTCCAGAAGCTCGCTGTACTCCATCTCCTCGCAGAGATGCTGCAGGGTGTTGAGCGGCTCGTTTAGCTCCACGGGCATAGACACTTTAGATAGGTCTTTACCAATGTTGTTCCTCAAGATGTTCCACAGGTTAATGTTACTGGTGTCAGGACAGGGAGCTGGCAGGCACGTTCGGCGTCCGTTCCGGAAGGCCCCTCCTGTTAGCTCCCCATTCAAGACTGAAATCGGGAGATGAGAAAGTGAAAAAAAAGCGAAGATACTTTGCTTTTCATAAAACCCGGGAGGGAAATAACCCTTTTAAATAATTCTGACTGGGATACATTTCTCAAGCCTTTTATTATACTCCCTCAAGAACGAATGGAATTATTTCAATACAAGGTTGCTAATAAAAGCAAAAAATATTAGTGTACAGTTTTTCAAACAGGGTGTTAACTATGCTAAAATATTCCCAAAAAAGGGTCAAAATTTTAAAAGTTAAATATATTTAATAAGAAGGACTCAATTTTTGGTTTAAGCAAGAAATAAAACCTTTTCACAATCATTTACCTAACAGATTTTAGAACCATTTACCTCAACAGATTATACAAATACAAAATCTATCAAACTATCAACTACAAAAGGAACAATTAATTTGGGAGGGAGTGATTATTCACTGAAACACCAGCCTTGTAATTTGGCATGAAGAGAGAAGAGCCTGCAAGCTCAAAGGATGCATACTTTGCCGAGAAATGTTGTCCGCAACACTGGTGTTGTCTTCCGATATATTATCACTCACATCACTGATGTAAGACTCATCATCTGAAGCCTAGAGAAGAAAAAAATATAGAAAGGATCAGGATTTTTGTTCAGTGTTGAAAGTTCAGAAAATCAAACAATTAAACACAAGATGTTGCTCAAATTAAAAGCAGAGGTCATAGTGGGAAATGCATTTGACTTATGTGCAGTGAACACTTGAGGGTCTTCCATGAATATAGAATGGCTCAAAATAAGTAGCTCCCTGTCTTAGCTGGGGTTGGAGGCTAGTACACAGCCAGAAATATTTCAGTACAATGCAACAAGAATATACAAAAAGGAGGCCGTATGACTCTCCCTCAAGTCTATGAGCCAGTGATTTTTAGAGAGAGAGGAATAGGAAGAGAGGGAGAGAGAGAGAGAGAGAGAGAGAGAGAGAGAGAGAGAGAGAAACATTGATGTGAGAAACATCAATTGGTTGTCTCCCATACATGCCTTGACCAGGGAATAGAATTCACAACCTAGGCTTGTGCCCTGACTGGGAATCGAACCCCAACCTTTTGGTGTATGGGACAATGCTCCAACCCACTGAGTAACTTGGCCAAGGCGACACCACCACCTTGCTTGGACTTGTGCAATAACCTGTCTCATATCTTCTTCATTTCTGCATTGCCAGTGTCTATCCAAGGGGCAATCGGCCTCCCAGTTGAGTATGCCCCAGAACTTTGAAATGGGAATAAGGTCTCTTTCTAAGAGACAAGCGGTAAACATCAGATGATGGGTCAGAGCCCAGATAATGTAGTGTCCAGTGTGACTGTAATTTGACTGAAGAAGGATGAAGAACTGGTCAGCAATGGGAGCTCAGAAAAAGAAGAGTCAGAAAAGAAAATGCTGGTAGCATGTCTCCAGAATGGTGGTCCCTGGGGCATAGAGACTGGATCACAGACACAAATAACCCATCCATGTGGCAGCGTATCCCTCCTTATTAAGGGGATGGAAGGTTGAAGCTATTATATCCTGGCCCTCCTGGCCTCAAGTTCACTCAACTCACTTCTCCTGCTTCCAGTCTTTCCTTGCTCACCAAACAACCTCCTGACTACAATTAGGCTTCCCATGAAGATGTGCCTACAGGGAAA